GCTGTCATTTTTACAGGACCAGATTGCCAGGTCTTTGTCCATTGGAGCTGATGATTGTGTTCAAACCACTGACATTTTGATTATCCACTAAGCACTTGACTGCTGCCTCTATGGTATTTGATAATATGAAGGAATTATTTGGTTCAGTTCAAGGAAATAGTCCAAGTTGGATTCAAAGTATTTGTCTTTTCTAGAAGATTTGGATCCACAGTTTGGCCTCTTCCCAAGCAGGGTAGGAACCCGTCTCTGAGCTACAATTGCTTCATGATATGCTTCTTTTCAACATAAAGCCCCCAATACCTTGAGATACAATAATCAAAATGGGAATGTCTGAGATAGGAAGAAAGTTCCTTGGTGGCGCAGTTGTTAAGCGTGCGGTGGCTAACCCAAAGGCTGCCGGTTCTAATACACGCGTCTGGCAATTTACTCCTTTAAAGACCGAGGCTAGGAACCCTGTTGGGCAGGTCCACACTGTCCCGTAAGGTCACTATGTGTCCCACTCCACTCAGCAGCGTCAACACCATTCGAACTGGAGGGAAGTACCAGGGACCACCTGAATACAAGGACAGCAGGTCCTCAGTCGTTGGAGGCTGTTCTCAGATCGAGGTCTCAGCGCTCTGAAGGAAGGCGGGGTGTTGGCAGAGCTTACTTTGCCCAAAGCAAACCCAGTGTCATCCATTTGACTGTGACTCATGGCAACCGGACCGGACCAAGTAGAACAGCCCCGTAAGGTTTCAGAGGCAGACAGACTTCCACATCTTTCTCCTGTGGGTTCAAACCACTAACCTTCCGTTAGCTGCCGAGCACTCACCTACTGCACCTCCCCCTCCTCTAAGCACGTGTTGTTGTTGTTGTTGTTGTTAGGTACCAACATGCGGGTGACTCATAGCGACCCCATGCATCACAGAACAAAACGCTGTCCAGTCCTGAGCCAACCTCACAATTGTTGTCACGTTTGAGCCCATTGCTGCTGCCACTGTGCCAGTCAGTCTCACTGGGGGTCTTCCTCTTTGTCTCAGACCCTCCACCTTACCAGACATGATACCCTTCTCCAGTGAATCATCCCTCCTGACAATATGTCCGAAGTATGAGAGACGAAGTTTGGCCATCATGGCCTCCAGGGGGCACTCT